AAATTTTAGCAGCCAAATTTGACTGCTAAAATCTACAGTTTAAGGGATTGCACTTTAAATTTTGCATTTTCTTATGATTTATTATAAGATTTACAATATAAAAATTGATCTCTTTTTTTGTCAATTTCGCCCTTTTCTCAGCAACTAATACAGAATATCTGTTATTATATAACTTTTACTCACCTCTATTGATGTATAAATTTTCTGATAATTGAAAACACAACTCGTTGCAATTTCTTGATCCTGAAGGATTTCTTTAACAGCTAAAATTATTGGCCGGTGTTTAAATAAATATGTTTGATCCTTTACTTGTACAACAGGAGTTGAAGAAAATTTAAAATGATTTTTTTTTAAGGTATCCAAGAAATGAAGACCTTTTTTAGTTGATCAAGGCAAAGTTTTTTTGGAGATCTGGCTATGATTTTTCATAAACTTCAATATAGCGTCACTAGCAGTATAAGAAAGCTGATATCAGATTACCTAATATTGGTAATAAGACTATTTAGATACTAAATACCCTATTTTAAGAAAAAACAACAAAAAAAAATAATAATACTTCCTATATCTATAAAATCCTAATATACAACATTAGGAAAGTTTATATTGTCATATTCACTATCATTGCTTCAAGATTGATCGTTAGTCTTTTCACATTCTTCTAATATGTTTCCTTTAACAATTTGGACATAATCATCATCGTTTTTAAAGATTAAGCTAAACTTATCAGTAATCCCATGATTATTAAACATAAAGTCACATTCATTAATAATCTCTTGCTTATCAAACACTGGAACAGACTTATTACCAAACTTAAAATTATATTCAATGACAGTATCTTGGTCACTGAATATGAAATCAGATTTGTTGGTAGTTTCTTGGTCGTCGAATATAGAATCAGATTTATTGTTAGTTTCTTGGTCATTGCACATAGAATCAGATTCATTAGTGCTTCTTGGTCTTTGAATATTGAATCAGATTCATTGGTGATTTTATGGTTATTGAATATTGAATCTGATTCATTAGTAGTTTCTTGGTCATCGAATATTGAATCTGACTCAATCTTTGTACATCAAATACTAGGTAAGATGCATCTAAACTATTTTAATTTTCAAATATTGAGCTTGAATTAACAATAATACTCACTTGGCTTTTTACTTCTGATTCATCAGAAATATAACCATCCGTATCCTCATCTGTACTAGTGTTAAAACTAGTATTAGTTTTGTCTTCAACTTTATAATAGTTTTTATGAACTTTTTTATAGTTTTTGAAGCTTGTAAAATGACCAAATTCTCTTTCACAAATACGATATATGAACATGATAAATGAATAAAACAGATCTGAAATAAACTTTGAGTATTTAATATTAATTTATAAGTTTATGATTACATAGAATAAACAAATTACGTAATTGAATATTAAACTATAAAGTAACATAAATTAGAGAGAAAGCTCTTATTTGCTTAAAACTTAAATTTATATATGATGCGTCAAGAAAGTAACCATAATGCATCATAAGAATTATTTAAAAATGATTACTTTCTTGAAGCATAAAATTAAATTTTACAAATTTGGTATCAAAAACTTGTATATAATAATTTTTTTTTTGTAAGGTTTATTGGTCTAATAGTCTAATCGATCAACTTTCAGCATCAAAGGTATAGTTTTCTACTTTGTACTGGCTTTACTTATCTATATATCAAATGATAAAGATCAATCTTTACATTACAATATTAATTTAATTAATCAGATCGATTACTTGCGTATTATTTTTTTCCCCTTATTATTTATCATTATAAAGTAAAATTCTATTAAAAATTCATAAAGATAGTGATCTGCAACTTTAAAACTTTCAAGTAACTTTCTCTTCTTTAATCAACAAAGTACTTTTTCAAGAAACCTTCTCTTCTTTAATCAACAAGTTTAGCACTTTTTCAAGAGACCTTCTCTTCTTTATATTGCCACTATGTCCAAAAAAATAAGATTGAAAATATTGATGACTATGACGTTGGGAGTGGCTCTCAAAATTCTTTTCATTCTTTATCAACTCCTTATGAAGTTAATAAAAGCCCACCCAGATTTCCGCTTAACGAAATCTTTACCAATATGTCAAAATGTTTGTCAGTTAATACAAATAACAGTCAGTTTATAAATATATAAAATTTACTGCATTTTAAACTATAATGCTATTACTAATTATTATATTAAATTAGTTTTAGACGAAAAAAACAAAGCAATAAACACGTTATTAGAAATTACAAACAAAATATTAATGCAAAACACCTCGATCATGGAGAAACAAGAAACCTTGGATACTACAGTTACACGACTTGCTAGTGACATCAAGGTTTTACAAACTTGTACGAAAATTTAAAGTTAAAGATGAAGGATAATGATTATGAATGGTGGCAGGTATGAATAATATTTTTTTATCATTCTTTTTAAATTAAACTGATCACTTATTTTAATATTTTATTTAAATATCATAAGGTATATAATTATGGATTTTGTGTAATCAATCACTTTAATTCAAAGTATTGACAAATTTTACAGAAGAGAGCAACACAAGGTATCAAGTTCTTAGTTGATAATTGGCTTTATTCCAATGACAAAATCTATGAAGAATCTATTTGGAAAGAACTTGAAGATCTTTGTCTGGACAAAATGGTGCGATATAAAAACAATTCAAAATAGGAGACTTTGTATAGCAAGATTGAATGTATGGTAAGAATTATAATATGAAAGTGAAATTCGTGTATATGCGATTTAATTAGAATTAGTTACTATTTTAGATGAGGTTTGCATCATGTATATATGTACGTATGTATGTATATACGTAATGATTTCTGCACAAGTTTTACTCTGTTTTAGTGCATAAACTTCATGATTATGTAATTTATTAAATTTATATATAGATTGACATTGAATTATGCAAGTATTGTGGTGCTTTATTCGGGTCTTTTCGCCATGCTGTATTTGAGTATGTTTTTAAAAACAAGATTTTACCAACTGTTAATTCAGAAAGTTCTGAAGCCAAAATAGTTTCCTGGAAATCAAGTGAGAATGTACAATAGTGTTTTCAAAATCTAGATACAATTGTAGAAGAAGAAGATAAGACATATCACGAGATGGTTACCAAGAAAGTATTTGGCCAGAAACTTACGAAAAATCATTACATGGTTATACAAGCTATTTTACATAATTTGTTCGATCCTGAAATTGTAAAAATTAAATTTGACAAAAGATATTTAACACGGAAGCTGCAATCTTTCTTGGTACTATATTATGCATATATAGGAGCTTTTCAATAGAAAAGGAGAGATTTCTTCTAAGTAAAAGTTTTTTAAACTTTAAATTAAAATATCTCAACAACTATTAAACTAAATTTAATAAATTTTTTTTTATTTTAATTTTATAAAATTATAAAACTAAAGGAAAAAAAAATTTATTATATTTAATTTAGTAGTTATTGAGATATTTTAATTTAAAATTTTAAAAAAAGTTACTAAAAACTTTTTCCCCCTTTTCTATTGAAAAGTGCCTATATATTTTTTAATTATATTTCTATTAATTTTTAACTACAAAGTTCTTAACTTATAATAGTATAATGATAGCGAAGAGAATACTGAAAAGGGTTGTGGAGGTTCATGCGCATCTGATAGTGAATGACACAATATATAAACTAGAAATTGGATGTCCCGAAGTAGTTATTGTAGATTAGGGTTTTACGGGATATTAATGTGCAATTTGTTAGAATATTAAATTTTAAAACAATATGATCGCTATAGCATTTAAATATTAATAATAAAATTTACATTTATTTATATTTTGCTTAAAAAAATCGTATAAAATTTATATAAAATTTTATTTATATAAATCTTTAAATAAATATCATTTAAAACTTTATATAACTATATATATATTTATATTTTATATAAAATTTATAACTATGTAAATTTATATTGGGTTTGTAGATTTACATATAATTTTCAAATAAAATTTATATAAAAATTTTATGTAAACCTATATAAAAATGTACTTTGTTATGTGAAACACCATTTATTTCGGGAAGAACATCTTTTTGTTATCATTCTGACTCACATTAGATCAAATGATTCCTCAAATATGCCTGAATTATTTTAACTCTCAATCGACGTTCATCACAAAGTCTATTTTTTATAAAACTTATGTAATTCTATAAAGTTATATAAATGTTATATAAAATTTTTATATAGATTTACAAACCCAATGTAGACTTATATAGTTATAAATTTTATATATTATTTAATATAAATTTATATATAATTTATTTAATATTTACATAAATATAAAATTTACATAAATTTTATTTATATCTACATAAAATTTAATTTACTTTAGCTATTTCTCAAAAGTGATTAAGGTAATCACCGCTCGATGCACTAAGTAAAAATGCTCAGCATGCTCGAAAACCTTCCCCAAACCCTAATTTAAACTTTAAAATCTTTAAAATTTTTTTGCGATTTTACATAGTTCTATATAGAAATATATATAGAAATATATATAGATTTATATAAATAACTATGCAAATCTACATTGGGTTTATAAAATTTTTATAAGATTTAATAAAACTTCTACATAACTCTATATAAAAATTTTACATAGATCTATGTAAAACATACTTTGTGATGTTGGCTTCTCATTCAATATCGATTTTTCAACAATTTGTAATAACTATATATTTCTCTAAGTAGAATGATGGATATATCTCAGACTTTCAGATGAACAATGACTATTCGGTCGACTATTTGCCTACTTTATCCCAATATGGTTTAACATCCCCACTTTTAGTTCCACTTTCGCATACTTTATTCTCATATCAACAGTGTGAAATTCCTCAAGTTGGTTATTGCTATCGAAACGGGATTGAGGATTAAAAAGAATGAACATCAAGCATTTATTGATTATGGAAAATTTGCTTAGATTCACAAAGCAATTTACTGTATTATATGGGCAAAGTAACTTATTATATGAAGAATTTATTTCTATTTTAATTTATTTGATCAAAAGCTTAATAATTACAATGCAATATACCATTTGCCAGAAGCCTTATTTATCATTCTCAACGGCATAAATGTTTGATGGATAAAGTAGTAGTAGCAAAGTAACTCATTAATTTATAAAGGATTTAATTTTTGTGGAATGCTTTTTATTATATTATAGAATTGCCCAAGTCGAACTATATATTAAATTCACTGTAAAAAAAAAAAAGTACTGTAATGGCACAGGTGTCAGTGGCACGGATAAAAAACGGATTTGTACGTAAGAGGTTTGAGTTGGCACGGATTTGTGCCTTGTGTTGGACTGTATACCAATGCTGATTGGACCGTTAATGACTCGGATTTTGTAACACTTTACTAGTCTAAGTGGCACGGCTTTTGGCATGGTTTGGTGCGAGTAATGAGATGTGCCATCACGTACTGTACATACAACATACATATGCGTATTATCCTTGCCGTAAATGTCCGCATCATTTTTAAATTATCGAAAAGCATCGTCTCACACATTCATTTGTTGTATTTTTTTTTTTTTTGGACTACGCCGGCGAATACAATTTTAGGCGGAGATGATTTTATTAAGCAAATGAAATGATATTGACATAGCACATGACTAAGAAGCAGTAAATGGCCGAGAATGGCCAGGAATGGAAATGACATCCCGAGAAAATTGTAATAGTTATTGCACTGGGAGTCGCCGTAGGATTGATAAGCCGGTGGCTTCCCGCCTGCCGAAGCAATCCGGCTGCGTGTAGAAAAATACGAGACATGTGAGTAGAGAAATGGTAGGATCATGTGGTCAAAGAAATGTAAATGGTAGAATCACGTGGTCTTCCCCTTGGTTGGATCGAGAACTTTGGCTTGCGGGTTTCAACACTTGTATCTTTGTTTCTTTCTTCCCCACACATTGACAGTGTGTCGTTCCCACGATACTAGCATATGCTGCATTATTTGCTTATGATCCTCTGCCAGCTTCCTTTGGCGGGATATATGTTGCGCCAGATGTTTGTTCTGTGATTCCGTGGCGTTGATGCGTGGCTGCCTCTCTTTTCGATCACATGTTCTATCGTCACTACGCAAAAATTTGCATATACGTTTCACATGCCTGACCATTTCGTGCGTTTCCGAAATCAACCCGCGCCACATCACGGACCACGTTTTTTACAGGGATTATGTTAGATGTTTACGTGTATCGTGAACTCACAGGAACAGCCTAATTTCAATTTGATAAGTGAAGATTACCTACAGAATTTTACGTTAAATTATGAAATACCTATATATATACTTGCTTCTTAATTTGAGCGATTCATTTTGGTATTTGTTATTATTTTTTTAGACATTAGTCTTATTATTATTATACTAAGCCGAATTATTCAAATTTTATTTTATTACTTTATTCATCGAATGCTTGAGAACAATAAATTTTACATTTATAACCTTAGAATATTTGTTTTAACTAGTTTAGCAAGGGTCAGTACTCATACCTTAGTTTTAATGTTGATTTTTATTACCTATATATTTGATTTTCGTAAAAAAAAAGCTGATGAGAATCTCAGCACAAACGTTCTTACTTGACAAGACCATGTGTTCAAAATATAGTATTTTTTGTTCACTTTGATTTTATGGTTTTTAATGAATGTCCTTCTTTATGAAAACTAGCAGTTGCATATATAAGAGACTTCGATACTGGTCTTTAATAAACGTACTAATTTATTAGCATAACGAAATTAAAGGATATTATACAATAGTGAATATCGGCTAAATAAATGATGTCTGTACTATAATTATATAATAAATGCGATTAAAATCAAATTAATTTTTGTTATTTTATACTCGCTCATTAAACCATTGGATTTAGAGAAACCGTAACTTTGCTTAAAAATTTTAATATAAAATATTTTTTTGAAGCTTTTAAATTTTATATATTTTTAAAAGGTTAAATCTACATAGATCAGAGCACTTATAAAAATGGCAGAATATAATTAATAAACAATATTGATCTTCGTGCACTTCTGTAATGAATTTGGGATTTAGAATTCGTTAAAGTAAACTAATAGACCAAAGAATAAATAAAATAATCTATACTTATGTTTGATCTGTGATGACATCACACAAAAAATTAATGAAAAATCAATAGTACTATTTCAAGTACTTCAATTAATAAATAATGTAAAACAATCGCAAGTGCATCCTAAATGCACATCTCAAACTTAAATTTCAACCAAAATATATAAAATATATACATGATCTCTATAAATGCATTTTTTTTTTATTGTTCTCTAAGTGCACATTGTTAAAATTTGGTCCCAAGCGTGCGCTTTTACTGTACTTTAATAGAATAAATGTCTATCAATTAAATTAGCACGACAAAAATTAAACTTTAAATACACCGATTAATAAATAATATGAAATGACCTACTACATAAAAAATTAATAAGAGTTAGATTATTTCAAATATTTAGATTAGTGAATAATTGTTATACCCACCAGTTAAATAATAAATAGGGATTTCACAAGGTTGTTTCGACTTATCCAATCGTAAAAACTGCTTCAAGTTAAAGAATTGTAAAATGTGAAATCTATCGTACATGCTTCGATTATCTAAAGAATTTTAAGACTAAGGGACGTATTTCGGAAACTAGTGGGAGTTTAAACCATCTTATTTGAGTATCAAAATTTTGAAAACAGAAAATGAAATGGAGAGTTTAGAGACTCCCATGTAACGAAATATATAAACTTTTCAACGACAAAAATCATTATTACAAATTTATTGGAAAATGAAATAAAGTCGATTTGAAAATAAATACGATATCTATTTTTGTCAAAATTAAATTCCCGAACGTTAATTCTGAAACCCCTTGCCATTAAACGAGCAAACATTTTCAATGCATCGATCTGTCTAGTGAATTTTAAAACATTAAAGACGGTTTTAAGTACTTTAATCTACATATCAACTGGTAAATTTTTAAAATATAAGAAACTACTTGAATGCTTCGATTCATTCTAAAAATTTATTTAAAAAGTACATACAAAAGTACGTCATACTGCATTCTACATATACTCAACAAAAAAACACGCACATCTCTATCAGTCAGTCGTGATGTCACGCAGATCATTTGTGTAAAATTTTTAATAGTAGGTCAAATGATCGACGCACCCAAATTTTATAAGTAAAATT